CCCTTGTGGTACGGGCTTCCTCCTCTAGGTGAGTGTTCTAGGAAACCATCAATATCAGTGCACCCGTTGGCATTGTTGTGAGAGGCTGTGTTTAGCTTCAGTAAAATTTTTTGAAGATTCTTTCAACACATTTGCCCATTTCATGAAAATACACCTGCCCACTACACTGTGTGGGCAGGTGTTCAGCAGTTTTTGACCAAAAACTGCGTTAACCCCATGCCCCACCCTTCCTATTCACCTGCTCTTGTCCTAAGTGACTTTTTTTGTTTCCCCAGCTGACAAACATCCTCAAAGGAAAATGTTTTGTCAATGTGGAAGATGTGAAACAAAAAATAGCAGGGGCACTAAAAGGCATCAAAGTCGATGAGTTTAAAAAGTGTTTTCAGCAGTGGAAAAAAATGTTTCGCCCTGGCTGGCATAGCTCAGTGGATTGAGCACGGGCTGCGAACCAAAGTGTCACAGGGCACATGCCTGGGTTGCAGGCCATGACCCCCAGCAACCGCACACTAATGTTTCTCTCTCTCTCTCTCTCTCTCTTTCTCTCTCTCTCTCTCTCTTCCCTCTCTAAAAATAAATAAATAAAATCTTTAAAAAAATGTTTCAGTAGGTGTATTGCATCAAATGGAGAGTACTTGGAGGTGACTGAAGTTTAAACATCTAAGAATAAATACACACTTTTTATAAATAAATTCCGTGGGTTTTTTTGTATGTAGGGGGTCCTGCCTTATCTGAGAACTGAAAAGTCATCAGAAAAAAGCAGGAAAATAGGCAAAAGACTTGAGGGGGCACTACATAGGATATTCAAATAGTTAATAAACATATGAAAAGGCACTCCACGTCATTAGTTGTTATTAGTCATCAGGAAAGTGCAAAGTAAAGTCACAATAGAATGCACACCCACAAAATAGCTAAAATTATAAAGAATGACCACGGCGAGTTTGGATCCACACCAGCTGAGTCACTCAGACACTGCTGGGAGGAATGTGAAATGCTACAAACTGGCAGTTTCTACTAAAGTTAGATATACACCTACCCTGTGTACCAACAATGTTAACAGCGGGGGCGGGAAGCCAACCAGAAATGAGTGCTTATGCCCACCGGAAATGAGTACTAAAAAGTTTAGAGCAGCAGTTCCTGGTAATAGTTTCATGTGTAATAGGTCGCGTGCTAGCAATTACTAGTTTGCAGTAGTCTGTGACAGTCCTGACCTGGAAGCCACCCAAATGCCCACCAGCAGGTCACTGGGTAAGCGGTGGCAGTCCCATGCTGCGATACTGTACAGCAGCGATTTTCAGCCTTTTTCATCTCATGGCACACATCAATTAATCACTAAAATTCTGCAGCCCACCAAAAGATATATTGTACTTTTTGCCAGTCTGATCAAACAAACAAAACATATAATTTTGATTCATTCATACCGGATAGCTATTGTGTTGGCTGTTGTTATTTTTTTTATGTGACAACCTAAGGGAAAAGAAGTCAGTGTCCCTGACTAAATAGTCGGGTGTCGTATGTTTTAAGAACGCCTGCTGCGCAGTGGCAGACCGCGGCACGCAGCGGGAGGTCCCTGCTTTGCAGCCGTAAAGGACGCCTACAAGTACAGGCCAACATCGAGCAGTCTCGCTGGGGGAGCGCTGAGTGACTGAAGCCACACTCATGACGGTGAGCACTGCACGGCTGCATTCACATGGAGTTCACACATCGGCAGAAGGAATGGGCACTGTTAGAGGTGAGGACAGTGGTTGTTCTTGGGGTGCAGCGACAGAGAGGCGGCGGGGGCGGGGCTTGTCTGCGCTGTTGTAGCCTGCTGCCTTTTCCAGGGGCTGGTTACAAGAGGGTGCTAGTTTGTGGAAATGTCAGACACTCATGATTTATCTGCCTTTCTGTATGCATGTAGTACTTTAATAAAGAGTTAAAATATATTTTATGTTATAAAATATATAACACTAGTTAGCGATGCATATTTGGTAAAATCATCCACATGCAAAGGATAGGATGATCGCCTGTGGGAGAGAAGGCACTGGTGTGAGATGTGGAGATAAAAGAGCATAAACGGGTGAACAACGAGGAGAAGGACCTCACACAGATGGTGACAACAGCGAGCCACAAATGTGGGACATGACTGAGGGAACTTTCCGAGGGACAGTCCAGACAATTTCTTAAATGTCTTCATCTGAAAGCATATTATGGAAGACTGCTCAAAGGTTTGGCCTTAGCTTGAAAACAAAACAAAACAAAAACAAAACAAAACCATGAGAAAAGCAGGCGAAGGGACATAAACAGAAATGCACCCCAGTCATCTAGGTCATATTGGCACTTTGAGCAGCAATGTGGTTTTGCAGAATAGCAGCGTCCCCAAGTTACTGTTAATGTGAGTGTTCCTGGTTTTGTGGTTTGGGTTTGGAGTCCAATATTATGTGTTTTAGTTGTAGAGAACTGTAGGCAGAAGAGATATAAACAGCCCCTGGCCAGTGTGGCTCAGCTGGTTGGAGCATCATCCTGTAGAATAGAAGGTCACTAGTTTGATTCCCGGGTAGGGCACATACCCAGGTTGCTGGTTCAATCCCAGGTCCGGGTGCTTATAAGAAGGCAATCAATCAATACTTCTCTCTCACATTGATGTTTCTCTTTCTCTCTCTCTCTTCCCTTCCCTCCCTTTATCCGTCCCTCCTCTACTCTTTCTCTAAAAGCAATGGGAGAAAAATGTCACGGGGCAAGGAAAAAAAAAGACATATAAACAGCAGTGTATGTTGGTGTGCATTTAAGAAACTACAGTTATAATTTAAGTAGGCACAGGGAATGTATAAGAAACACTTTTTCTTAAAGGGGATCTCTGCATTTCTCTAGACTAGATACTGTCTGAGGTCCAGCACAGATGTTCTGTGAGTGAGCGATTCTAGATTTGAAGAGTCCTTGGTCTTCATGCTACCATATTTCATCCCTACTTGAAATCTTACCATAGCTCCCTGGTGTCCCCATATCCTTCATGGTGACCCACAAGGCCCTTCAATTTGTGGCTCCCACTGGCTCCTTTCCCATCATCATTTACTTACCCTCCTCACTCAAGTCATTTCCAGCTTTTGGAGGTCTTGCATATGCTGTTCCCTCTGCCTGGAATAATCTTCTACTCTCCACATCAGAGTTTTACTTCCCTTTATCCTTTAAGCCTCAGCTTAGACATCTCCTCCTCCAGGAAGCACTCCTTGACTCTGCAGACTGGATCAGGCACCTTATCTGGACTTCTACAGCCCCTGGGCATCCCCTGTGCCTGTGACTCCCCCATCCCAGCCCTGACCCCTCTGCATCATCACTATCTAGCTGGATCTAACTCTCCCCCTGGACTGGGAGCTTTGTAGGGGCAGGGCCAAGCTGACTCAGTCACCATTATGTCCCTCCTATTGCCCAGCAGAGGCCAGGCACAGAGTAGGCACCAAATAAATATTTCATAGATGGAATAATAAATTCTAGAATCCTAAGTTGGTATGTTACCAAGTACTTAAGCTTCTAAGAGCTGGTGTCCAGGGCATTGTTTGCCAGCTGACCATGGCCACCAGTCCATTCACTCATGTGCATCACCTGCTTTCCCAGAGGCCCTTGGGTTCGACACCCTGCTCGACGTCTTTTAATGATAAAGTTCCAAAAATCTTAGTATCAAAGATCCCATGATTGTCAAATGCTGAGTCAATAAAAGTCTGAGATTCTAAGGGAACTAATTCTGACTTTAGGGTTTCAAGATTTTATGATTATAACAATATAAATTTTATGTGTAAAGCACTCCAGGTCAAAGGTGCTAAGGGTTTAGTGTTCCCAAAGCTTATGATTATGAAGTTACATGTCTCTGAAGGGTCTTTGCTCATAAATTTTTAGGCTGTTGATTAAACTCTTCTGAGGTTGTAAAGCCGCATGAATACACAGTCCTAAGGTCCAAGGGCCTACATTTCCTAACCTCTAAGGACTAAGGTTCTGTAACTCTACAGCTCTGTGATCTTTGCTTATATTGTTCTAAAACATCAAAGTAGGTAACCAACCATCCTGGTTGTCCCTGAGGGCTTCAGTGCTAAAGCAGGAAGGTTTGGTCATTCTCTCTCAGGATCCACCTTCCTTTTCTTATTTTTTAAAGGTTATATTTACTTATTTTTAGAGAGAGGGGAAGGGAGGGAGAAAGAAAGGGAGAGAAACAGCAATGTGTGATTGCCTCTTGTGCACCCCCTACTGGGGACCTAGCCTGCAACCCAGGCATGTGCCCTGACTGGGAATTGAACCAGCGACTCAGTGGATTGAATCTCAGTGGATTGAGTCCAGCACTCAATCCACTGAGCCACACCAACCAAGGCATAAAAAAAAAAAGTAAATAAAACCTTTATTTAAAAAAAAATAAAGAAATTCTAAAGGGTTAGGATTATAAAGCCCTAGGATCTATATGTATTAGAGTTTAGATTTCGAAGGGCCTGAGGTCCTAGGAGCCAGTGATTAAAATTTCTAAGGCCTATGATTATAAAATTCTGTTTACATCTCTGTTTCTAAAAGTCTCAGGTTCAAGTCTGACATTCTAAGGTCCTAAAATCTGGCATTTCATCATTTCAGGATTCTAAGGAAACATGCTTACAAAATCACACGTTTCTGGGAGTGTACACATCTCTGAGGTTCTAAGGCTGCACTGCTCCAAGCAGCAGCCACAGGCCATATGTGGCTATTTAATTAAAAGTAAATAAAATCACAAATCCAGTCCCTCAGGTTGCACCGGCCGCATTTTAAGTGCTCGTAACCACAAGCACTACTGCGTAGTATATCGGACATCACAGGTAGAGAACATTTCTCCACCATCGTGGAAAGTCCTATTAGACAGCGCTGAGCTACATGTTCGAGCTCTCAGTGCCTGTAACTGTCTTCCCACCCTCCAGGCCATCAGGGTTCTCAGGCAGTGAGGTACACACGAAACACCGCAGCAGTCCCCTCCCTTCCCTCCCTGCCGTCTCCCACCCCAGCCCTCTCCCAGGTACCTGCCAAGGCCTTGATCCGGGAGCACTCAAACAGGGAGGCAGCTGCGGTGGAGGCCGCGGGCTGCTCCCGATCCCAGCCCCGATCCGGACTCTCCCAGCGGGCTGCAGGGTTGTTGTTGTTAGAGGCCATCAGGCCTTCCATGTTGTCCACTTCTCCCGGCACCTGCGCCATTGGGGACAGGGAGGCCTGCGGTGGGTACAGGCAGGTTAGGGCAGGCAGCAGGGCCTGAGCTCAGAGATCCCACTTCGTACCGTGACTAGCTGTGAGTCCTGTCTTCTCTTTCATCCTCAATTTCCCTGTCTCTAAAGTGGGCCTAATAATAACAACAAGCTGGCACAGGGTAGGGACTGGGCAAATTGTCACTGTTATTGTTGCTACAACTCTATAATGCAGTGATAACAATAATTAACATCTACTGAGCATTTGCACTGTACTGAGTACTATGTATGCATTATCTTATCTAATTCCCACAAATTCCCTAAAGATAGGCTATTATGAGGCCTATTGTAAGAGGGGGAAACTGAGGCACAGAGGAGTTAATTCACTTGCCCAAGGTCCCAGAGCTAGTGAGTAGCCAGGATGCAAGCACAGGCACTGTGATGGAATGACTCATTGCATCCACGGCTCCAATTCTCCCTTATAGCCATTCTCACACACCTCTCTGGTGTCCTCCTCGGTGGCAATTGCAGGGGTGGGAGAGCAGGGTGAAGGGACGTACCCCACCGCTTTACTCTGGGTTTGGCCCCCTGGCTTTGATGAACAGAATTAGGTGGAAGTGCTGGTAGGTTCTGAGCCTAGGAATCGGGAGACCTTGCCTGGTTTTGCTAGTGTTTGACTGTAGCCAAGAGAAAAGCCCTGCAAGGCTGGTCCAGGGCCACAGCCCCACGTGTTTCTGCCAAGACCACCGGCAGCGGTCAACAGCGAACATCCCCCTCTCACCCTCACGAGTGAATGGATGAGCCAGAGGAGCCCAACCTCAGTCCCTGGCCTCGGACGCCATGGCCCCATAACTGTTTGCGTGTTTTGTTTTAAGACACTAAGTTTGAGGGTGGTTTCTTACGCAGCATTATTTTGGCAATGTCTAACTGACATAGTGTCTGATCTAGAACACTGACAGATTGTACATGTGAAATTTAAGGAGGTAGGAGACATCAGATACTTCTCCTCTACCCTCCAGGAATCCAAGCTTGATTCTAAGACAAAGAAAGGAGGGAACTGGGAGGAAATCAGTGTCTCCCTTCCCAAAAGATTCAGGCAGTTGCCAACCCACCAGGTTCTAGGGAGGCAGGGTCTAGATCTTGGTCACTGTGGTGGACATTTTCTCTTTTGGTGGACATTCCAAAATCCCCTGCTATTCTTCCCTTCTTCCATGGAAAGTTATGTGGGCACATGGCTGCTTACCACCTGTGTGACCTTGGCCAAAGCACTTCCCCTCTCTGGGCCTCAATTTGTTCATGTATAAAATGGTAATGATAACAGGACCCATTTCCTAGGGGTTTGGGAAGATAAAAGGATTTAATAATGCAGAGAACATGGTAGCTAGTACCCGCAAGCCCTCAAAACATGGTCCTTGCTAGTATTTTCATCCTGTGGTCACATATCTTCACAATCAAAGTGCCTGTGCTGGAGTCAGACAGAAACGAGTTCAAATCCTGCTTCATTCTTGCTGTATCTTTAACCCAGCATCTTTAGCTTGCCTTTCGGTGCCTCAGTTTCCCTCCCTGTTAAATAGCGAACACAATTATTTCTTCAATGGAGGACCGAGGAACGGGGAGGCACTTGGCACTTTGTGAGCTCTGGGGCTGCCGGAGAACAGCCCTCCAATGGCTCTGGCCGTTAAGCGACTGAATGGAGAAGGAAGCGGTGGAGGGTGAAGGGTGGAAAGGGGTGTCTTGTGGCCCCAGCGAAGACTGGTGGGGTGCAAGGCTGAGGGTGGGAGCACATGCTTTAACCTTTCGGAGGCCGCGCCTCTCTCTCCCTGCAGTCTAGTCACGGTTCCCGAGGAGGGAGCCTGGAAAGGACAAGGCCTGGGTGGAAGACTCACGCATGGCGCGGAGACTGAATTGGGTTGGGAGGTGGGGGTTCATTCCGTCCTCCGCCCTTCGCCTTCCCCCAGCCAGGGAGACCCTGGCGGCTCAGGCTACGGCCCCTGCGCGCGGGGGAGGGATGTTCGGGCAGGTGGGCAGATGCTGCAGGGAGGGGCTCTCCGCCCCCACTTTGCTCACCTGGGCTGGCGGCTGCCGGTGCTGCTGTCCCCGCTGCTCCCGGCGTCCGACTGCCCTCCCTGTCAGCGTCGGTGGCCCGGCCCGGAGCAGCCCGGCTCCACTCGGCCTCGCCGGCCCCGCGGCTCGGTCAGATCCGCATGCGCCGCCGCCGCCGCCGCGCCTCCCCCCAGCTCGCGCGGCCGCGGCGCTCGCGCGCCCTCGGGACCCCCTCCCGCCTGCGTCCCCCGCCGTCCCGGCCGCCTGCAGCGTGGGCCCACGCGCGCTCACACGCTTGGCCGCGGCGTGTGATACACAGGTGCGTTCTTGGGGGCCAGAGGCAGCATCACACACAGTCACATACTCTAACAATGTCACACATACCGGGTCACATACAGCATAACAAAAGTTATCCACACACACACACACACTCACACAGGGTCATACAGGGTCAAAAGTGCAAACTCACACGCGGTCACACACCCGCACCGGGTCCCACACTGGCACAGTGCCTGACAACGTCACTCGCTGTGACACTGAGGTCGTGCCACCAGCTACCAAGCACGTGGTGCCATACACAAACACACATGCCACACACTGTCCCGCACTCCTGTGGGTGTCACAAAGAGTGCCGTGTATTTCCACATCACACACAACTTCGCAGTCACGCAGTATCACATACCTTTTTGCACACCCGAACTTGTCACACCGGTCGTCACACTCACACAAGGCCACACACCCTGCAGTATCACACACTCATACATCGTGTCACAGGAGGTCACAAGCAGCATCACAAGAGTAACAGCCACACACTCAAATGGGGTCAGTGTCACACATCCTTACATGGCACATGAGTGTCACACTGTCACCTCTAACAGAGTCACACACTCACATGACATTCTACACGCCTCACATTCGCAGGTTCCCCAGAGTCGTGGGCGCAGATGGCATCACGAATCGACACAGTGTGGCCCAGAGTGTCACCACAAGGTCACACAAAAGCAGATCAATGCTTGCCACACGTGGTGTCACACAAGTCTCGCTCCGCAATGCGGTGTTACACACAGAGGATGGCAAATGGCGTCCACAGTCATGCTGTCCTTTGGGGTTACTCAGTCCCACAGAGTCACACGGACACATAGGCACACAGTTACAGTGTCAAACCCTCGCGCCCACACTGTCCTCCCCCACTTTCCTTTTGGAGGCCCTGGGGCGTAGTGTGAGTCCCAGACCCACCTCCAGGCCCTCGGAGAGGGGGCGTGCCCCAGGAGAGACTGGTGGGCGTGGCCCGCTGTCGCCCTGCCCCCTGGGTGGGGTCCAGAGCTCGAAAGGGGAGCACTGGGGCCACCTTTTCTTGTCCATCATATACGGCGACACCTCCCAGTCTAGGTGGTGAGCGGAAGGGCCGGTGCCGGGAGGCACACGAGACGCGCTCCGCCCACCCTCTCCCCAGCTGGAGAGGTGGCCTGTTTGTCCCCGCCCCTCGGTTTGAGCGAGTGGCCCAGGGGCGGGCCGAGGCGTGGTCCTCCGAGTGGTTCCTGTCCAGTCCCTCCCGCTAAAGAAGGGCGCTGAGGGCAGCCCAGCAGTCAGTCGGTTCCCGCGCGGCCGGACACTCTACGACCTCGCGCCCCCACGACCTCACAGCATGGCCGTCAAGAAGATTGCCATCTTCGGCGCCACCGGCAAGACCGGGCTCACCACGCTGGCTCAGGCGGTGCAAGCAGGCATGAGCTGGGGCGGGCGGGAGATGTCACGGGGTGCATAGGCACCAGGAAGGGGCATCGTGGGGTCGAGCTGAGGCCTTTTGGAGCCGTCAGTGCCTTGGTGTGTCAGGGGCGCCGAAGTGGGGAACGCTATGAGGTCCAATTTTCTGTGAGTTAGAGCAACAGGAATTGGCCCTGGGAGGCTGGGGGACTCTGATGACAGGTTTAAATCCCGGCGCTTATGACAAGTGTTGTTACTGTGGCCACTGGTGGCTGCATGCCCAGCGGGGCTCCCAGCCCTGCTTGCCCTCTAGCACCCCTCTCTCATCGCACGCACGTGTTAAATCCTCACAGCACTCAGTGAGAGGTTGGATCTTGTATCCCGTGGCTTCACAGATGAGAAAACCGAGGTGGAGAGGAAAGTGACTTACCCATTGTCACACGACTGGAAAGTGACAGTGCTGGGATTTGAATCAAAGCTTTTATATATATATATATATTTTTTAATATTGTGCTATTTTTTAAAGATTTTATTATTTATTTATTTTTAGAGAGGGAAGGGAGGGAGAAAGAGAAAGAGAAACATCAATGTGCGGTTGCTGGGGGCCGTGGCCTGCAACCCAGGCATGTGCCCTGACTGGGGATCAAACCTGCGACACTTTGGTTCGCAGCCCTCACTCAATCCACTGAGCTACGCCAGCCAGGGCTGAATCAAGTTCTTAACCGCCCAAAGCCTGCTAGCTCGTGGCTGGGACGGGAAGGCTGGAGGTGGAAAAGTCTGGAGGACGGGTTGCTGTAACCATCTGAGGGAGAGAGGATCACGGAGACAGACATGGTGGAGACGGGGACGTTGGGAAGTCTACAAGGCTAAAAATCCAGAGTTGCCCCAGGGAAGGGGGCGGGAAAGGGGATGATGGTTGGGCAGCCTTCAGCCCCTACTGTCCAGACTTCACCAAAACCCAGCCGGGCCTGCAACTTACAGATATAGGGCCCCGCCCTTGCTGGTCTTGGCGACTCTGAAGATATTGACTATCTGGGTGCCCCAAAAGGGTGGAGGCCCCCAAGATTCCACTCTATGCTACCTCCTAGCCCAGCCCTCCCTTGGAGAGACTGCCTGAAAGCTCCCCACTAGGCCCACTGCTCTCCCCCTCCTCAGGAAGACCTAGTTTGGACCTTGACTTGTGGGAAGGAAGAAACAAATTTGCTGATAAATATTTGTAAGAGGGAGAAGTTAGGAACTGCTGAGTCACCCTGAGGAACCGGGTTCTCTCTCGGTACAACCTTTTCCTTAATCCGGAATTCCACTGAATCCTGCTCATCCACCCTGCTGGTCACAGCTTGGACTGCATCCTGGGGAATTGAGAGCTGGGGCCTAGGGAGGCCTTGCCTTCTCACTGTGGCTCAGACAGGTTTCCGCACAGCTCAGCGCCTCGCTGTCGAAAGAGCTGGGCTTTTCTTTACCTCGGTGATTCTGTGCGGCTGCATCCTGACCTATGTGGACTCTGGTGCTAGCCTGCCCACACTCAAACCCCAGCTCTGCCACTTAGCCACCTGTGTGGCCAAATGCCTGGGGGCCTACGTACCTAGATGTCTGTAAAGCAGATGAAACTTAGCATTTGCCCTGGGGCTCTGGTGATGATGAAATAGGGTGGCACATGGAAAGTGCCGAGAATCGCGTTGAGCACTTAACTGGTGCTCAGTAAGCACTGCCTGGCTGAGTGAACTCAGATCCCAGTCATGTGATCCTGGCTGAGCTATGTACAACTGCCTCAGTTTCCTCATTATGATAATACCTACTTTGTAGGGCTCTTTCAATCTGGTGTTTTTCAAACTGGGTTGTAGTGATGTCTGACATATATGCGGTTGGTCACGACAGTGTCTGAATGTATAGCACGTAAAATACTGGTTTTATGCGTCTGTGTGTACTGGATGAGGCTGTGAAATAGATTTTGTGTAGAGGATTGAGATTGAAAAAGCCTAAAAGGGGTATGAACTCTGAAACTTGCTCTCAACTAGTTAGGAAAACACTATAGATGTGCTACACATATGATTATATATGTATAAATATATTTATATACACACACATCTAATTAGGTATATTACATATACATTTATATACACACAGACATAGAGAAGGGTAAAGCAAAACTAATGTGAAAATCTAGGCCTTGTTGCTTTTCTATAGGTCTGAATTTATTTCAAAATAAATAATTAACACAAAACTGTAAATAAAGTAAGAGGTTTGTAAAAAAAAAGTTGGGAAATACCTTATACATGTTTTTATTCTTTGTAAAGGGTAAAATCTGTGAATTCTAAACCTGTTTGGTATGGTAGCCACTAACTTATTTTTAAATTAAAATTGAAATGTCGATTGTATTAAAAATTTGGTGTGGAAGGGGAACCACATTTATTTGTAAAAAGAGCTTAGCACAGCACTTCTAATAAATGTCGCTGCTCACCGATAATGTAACAATCGGCGGGCGCCCTTGTGCTGAGATCTTGTGTCAAAGCTCTCGCTGTCTGTGAGAGCATGTGTTCCCCCAGATGCCCACCGTTTTCCAGGACCTGTTTGAGCCGGTGCAGTGGCAGTTAGCCTCCACCCACACCCACCTGCCGAAAGACTGTGCTGCTCCCAGATGCAAGTGAGGGCAGCACAGGTTTTGTGTCATCCCCAATGAAAGGTGGTCACACGGGATGGGGACACTGGGGAT